TATATATATATATATATATATATATATATATAGATGTTGTATGTATGTATGTATGTATTAATAAAGTTAATTAAATAGAACCATGTTTTGTGTTCTTACCATTTGAAAAGTAAATTGCTAGAATTTAAGGTAAGTAAATCTTTCTTTATTTTCATGCGTAGGTTATATCGCTAAATGTACTAATGTGTTACTTAAATTTGTTACTATGTGAATTTTATATTGAATTATTACGTTTTATAATATCTACATGAAATTTCAAGTAATAAAAATTTTCAAACGTGAGTGAGTCAAAAGGAATGTTTTAAAGATAGATGGAGACTCGGTAAAGGAGGAAATTGTTATACATTGTTTATATACCCTACATGAAACCTTGTGCATTAAAATTGTATCAAAATCCTACACAGACACCCCACGACGGCAGAGAGTACATTTTATGGAATGATGGCCGATTATGGAGAATCGTGCGGACAAAGAAAAAGACTGAAAATTAATAGCAGAAAGTTTCTTGTTAATCAAAGAGTTGAGGTAATTTCTTGTTCTGGGTTTGTTTATGGATTTAATAATAAGTTGAAGCGTTTATTTAGAATTTATACTCTAGATTTTACCTGCATTATGCTGTTCGTCAATCACCCCTTTTCCTATGCGCGATTGTAAACCCAACACAAGTATGTATATGTCGTATATATCATCCAACTTTCTAATGTTTTTCGTTGTTGCATGTGGGTTTTCTCTGGTGTCCATGCACCGTCGGTCCAATTGTCATAGATCGAATCAGACTAATTGTTTTAATCGACTCTTTTCTTGATTTGATTAATATGAAAATCTAAGATTATTTAGGAGGGAATGGTGGTTCGAATTACTTCAATTACCCTTTCGTTTCAAAATTCACGCATTCCTTCTTCGATGTCCAACTATATTTACTCAATATTTTTATTTATTTATATATTTATTTTGGGTTAAAATTAAATTTTGCTCGGAATTGTAAATTCTATGGACAGGTGAGGAGTCTGGAAGATGGGTTTCTGGGTTCATGGCATGTTGCGACCGTGATTTCCTCTGAAAATTTGGTTCGTCGTGTCAAGTATGATCACCTTCTTAGTGATGACGGTTCTGATAATTTGATTGAACATGTGAATGTAACTCCTATGATTGATGGGGTTGATACTGGTGTCACTGCAATGCCCAAGAATCATAGGGGTAGAATAAGGCCTTTGCCGCCATCTCATGATATGGGGACCTGGTGTTTACAGTATGGGCAATGTGTTGACTTGTTTCACGAGGATGCCTGGTGGGAAGGTGTGATTTTTGATCGTGAGGATAGTCAAGAGCGGCGGAGAATTTTCTTTCCTGACATGGGTGACGAAATTGTTGCTGGGATTCACATGTTGAGGTTAACTCAAGATTGGGATGAGGTTACCGATGAATGGAAACCTCGGGGAAGCTGGTTCTTTCTTGAACTGATAGAGGAAGCTAGGCCACATTGGTCATTGCCTGTTTCCATAAAGCAAATTTGGTATGATGTGCGGGTGAAGAGTGGCTTTGAGAAGCTTAAATATTGGACTTCTTCTGTGCAGACTATTTGGAGAGAATTGGTGTTGCAGGTTTTAGTTGATAACTTCAAGATAACTATTAAGCAGTTTCTCAAAGAATTGAACTTTTCTGGGGACTTAGTAGAGGAAGGACCACTATTGCTGGAATTTCCAGAACCAGCACTTGAAGTTATTCTGAACCAGCTCCTTGGAGAATATTTGCTTGGTAATTCTCTCACAATTGTACCCTCTGAAGCCACTTATAAATTTGATAGTAAAGGAATGCTGCCAATTGATCAAAATGAGACAAGCCACCATCAATTTGAAGAGCGTAACGATCGGGATGATTTGGAATCTATATCAGAAGAGCTTACCCGTGAGGAAGAAATATTTTGCTTGCCTCCTGCTCTGCCTATATTATCTCCTAGTCCTCTTGAAGCTTCTAGAACTGATTCCAATAATCACAATGAAGCAGCTTGTATTATGAGCTCTGCTATGTCCCATATGGAGTTCAAATCTTCAAAACAGAGAAAGAAACGAGAGTGGGTTTCAGTTGTGCCTGACTTGGTTCCTGGACCTGAGTTTTGCCCTAATGCCATTGTTACATGTTGCGAAATGTATAGGTGGAACAAGAATCCTTCAAGTACCGTTATTTTGAATGTGAGGAAACATCTACTGCATCTTGGCTGGAAAATTGACTTTTTTAATGATGGGAAGCTGAGAATGCGTTATACTTCTCCTGATGGGATAATCTATTATTCTATTCGTCTGCTTTGTTTGGAGCTTGGATCTGAAAGGATCTCTTTTATCTCCCATCGCAATAAGAAAAGTATTGTAAGTTCAGCTGATGATTTGTTTTCATCTTCGCCTGTTGGAAATTTACAATCTTGCAGCAAGTTGTCCAAGTTGCCTTGTCCTTCTGATGTGGTCAAACCTAAATATTGGCCTCAAGCAGTGAAGGATTATTGCTTACTTGGTTTAGAGGATGAGGATTTTAACAACAGCTCAAAAATGAGTCGGAAAATATGGAATATGGCCTTAAAAGCCATGAAACACCTATCTGCTATGGGGTGGTCATTTTATGACCACGGAGTTGGGGACCAGAGGAAAATGCAGTACTGTTCACCAGGTGGAACATTATTTAACTCTCTAAAGTCGGCTTGCAAACAGTGTGTAGAGATCGATGGACTCAATCCTAGAGACGATGCACATAATCTAGGAGGAATGGGGAATGTATATCCCATAAATGGAAATACTGAGGACCATTTAGCTGTAAATGGATCACATCTTACATCAGATGCCAAGGAATCCCATGGAAATTTAGTTCTGTCAAACAACATATTTGAAAACATGCCAACTGAATCGTCCGATGCGTCTATGTCAAAGGGGCTTGTAGAACTAGGTAAAGTTGAAGTTCATAGAACCAGGATACTGAAAAAGGGGAGAAAGAGAAAACACAATCAACCGCATCATAATGATGTTTCGCCATTGCTCAAGAGAGGGAGTACATCTATTAGATCAATTAAATTAAGAGGCGATATGGATGAAGATTCCTCAACCCCTGTCCTGCGATCAAGTAAAAGAGCTCGGGAAGCGGTTGGTTCTTCCTCTCATCGAACTCCTAGAACTGTCTTGTCTTGGTTGATAGACAACAATGTGGTTTTGCCAAGAACAAAAGTTCAATATCGTAGCAAGAAAGATGGTCGTCCAATGGCAGAAGGGCGAGTAACTCGTGATGGGATCAAATGTAGTTGTTGCCAGAAAATTTTTACTCTTAGTAGCTTCGAAGCTCATGCTGGCAGCACGAATCACAGGCCTTCAGCAAACATATTTTTGGAGGATGGAAGGTCTTTGGTGGAGTGCCAGTTGCAACTGAGACGCTACAATAGTAACAAAAGTGCAAAACTGGAATCATGTAAGAAGAAGGCCAAGCAGAGCTGCAGCACAAATGACTACATTTGTTCCATCTGCCACTATGGAGGTGAATTAGTTTTGTGTGATAACTGTCCATCTTCGTTTCATACTCACTGCCTTGGTTTGAAGGTAATTCATTTTTTACTCTTACTTGATGCTCAGTGTATTCTGCTCTGCTTTTTTGGAAAAAGAATTTTAGTTGAACTAAGCATTGTTTTATGATTGCATTTGTTCTCCTCTGTAGGAGGTCCCAGATGGAGACTGGTTCTGTCCTACATGCTGTTGTGGAATTTGTTGCAGGAGCGGATTTGATAAAAACAAAGAACATTATTCCAACTCTAGTCTTCTCAGCTGTGCTCAGTGTGAGCACCAATGTAAGTTATCTTTGTGATTGGTTCTTGCATATAGCTTATGCACAAATAAGCTAGTGATTTTTGTATCTAATAATAACAAAATTCATGTCATGTTCTAATGTAAGAGGAATTTGTTGTAGATCATGTTGGATGCCTCAGAAATAAAGGTTTTGAAGTTCTGGAAGATTTTCCCCAACAAAATTGGTTCTGCAAAGAAACATGTGAACAGGTAGTTCAACCAACATTCCTTTGTTATGGTCATTGAGGCACAGTGAGGTCTTTGAGGCATTGCTTAAGTCACTCTCTATCTTACTTTATAATGAATACATTCAAGAAGTTACATATTTCAATACTCCACTTCTTAAATTATTCAAATCATATTTGAATTAATTGACCATCAATTTGGAGAGGTAAAGCCACTCTCTATTCTTACTTTATAATGAGCGCATTTAATAAGTTACAAATTTTAATACTCTATTTCTTAAATTATTCAAATTATATTTGAATCACTTGACCATTGACATATAAAAAAATATATATTTTAAATAAAAGATTAGTAGAAATCAATAAATGTTTTTTTGGAAAAAAAGCAAAATGAAGAACCAAAGTAGAGAGTATTATTAGAGTGTGTAAAAAAAAAAATTCTAAATTTAAAGATGCTCTCTATTATATATAAGATGCTCTTTATAAAAAGAAAGTTTCTTGGAGATGCTCTTAGAGCTTATTTGTAATGTCTAATTCCTTGTTTCATGACATACGCCACATTAGAATAGATGATTATATGTCTTGTTAGTTTAGGCTGTTATGAGTGCATGAGATACAGTCTATTTCATGATAAAAAAACTGCTGTCTTCTGAATTTTGATGTTTATTCTAGCGTATATCTTTTCTTCAGTCTAATCCTTTGAATGCTATACCTATGATGGTTTCCTTTGACTTTTGTTTGCAGATATTTTGGTCTCTTCGCAATATTTTGGGAAGAGCTGTTCCTGTGGGGAATGAAAATTTGACTTGGACTTTAATGAAATACATAAAACCTGATTCACATGATCATGAGGCGCCTCATAATGAGTTTTTGATGGAGAGTTACAGCAAGCTTAATATTGCTCTTAGTGTGATGCATGAATGTTTTGAACCTGTCAAAGAGCCTCATACCAGGAGGGATCTCATGGAAGATGTTATTTTTAGTAGATGGTGAGATCTAGTTTACATCACAGTCTTTTTTCCACCCAGTTAAGATAAATCAACCTGTGTTTAGAAGTCATAATAACTGATAATTCATGTTAGCATGACTTGTTCTACTTCTGTTTTTAGTATTTATAAAATTCATCTGCTTTGGGACCATTGACCTATATAGACATGCAAGTTAGGGACTTTCTCAATTTCTTTCCCATTGTAAGGAAAGACTGGTTCTACTGAGATCTTACGTCTTTAGATGCAAAATATGCTGTTCCTGTGGTATAGCATTCTGCAGTTTATGGTCCTGGAAATTATCTCCTTACAATGTGGATGTCGAGTTTTAAATATCCTTTTTCTTTCTAAAGAACGTCATACTTCAAATGGGGTCTAGATTAAAACAAGTTTACCTCTCCCCGATGAGCAGTATGCATCTTCAACCAAATTTTATTTATGCTTGAATACAGTGTACAAAATTGTTTTGAAGCTTATGATGTTACAAAATCTCTCCATGTGTACACTTGTTTTCATATTACATTCTTCTTTAGATACTTGTTCATTATAACCAGGACTTTATAATTCTCCAGAACTAATAAGTATCACCCGACGTGCAGGTCTGAGCTAAACCGTTTGAATTTTCAAGGGTTTTATACAGTTCTTTTGGAGAGAAATGATGAGTTGATTTCAGTCGCAACTGTAAGGTATCTTGTTCTTGCAGATTCTGATTTAGGGACCTTCATTTTCACTTCTGTTAAAATTATTCTGAAGTGCTACTTCTTGTTGACTCCAGGATTTATGGGAAAAAAGTGGCAGAAGTCCCACTTGTTGCTACACGATTTCAGTATCGTCGACTTGGGATGTGTCGTATTTTGATGAATGAGCTTGAGAAGGTACATTACTCTTAACTATTGTTGACGACCTGTGCTGGCTTTTCTGTTTTCGAATGGCATTGCAAATTATTGGAGATGCAATATATTTAAAAGATTAAGAATTTATTCTCTATTCTTTTTTAAGGTTGTTAACAGATATATTAGCGAGAGAAAAGTTTTTCTTGGCGAATTGTTTGGTTGTTGCCTCCATGAATGTCTAGTTTCCGTCCCCCTCCCACTCCCACTCCTACAACCCAATTTTTTTTTTTTATTGTTCACTGGATGTCATTAAGGGCTTCTCTGATTATGTGATCAGCATAGTCTCTGTGGCTAATGAAATACTATATGTATATATCTGATGAAGGTAAATAACCATATTATTTGTGTTTTTGAGTTGAAAGATTTTTGTAAGCTAAATTAAGCCCCTGTTTGGGCTCCATTATAATGAAAGTTTGGGAGAAAATGTGCTTTAGAGTAGTGATTTTTTGAAGAATATGCGAATAAAAAATAAAGAAAAGGTTTGGGTTTACATGTAATATTATTTTATTGAAGAACGTGTTGTTGAAAATGAGAGAGAGAAAAATGAGTTTTGAAAATAATGGAGCCCAAACAGTGGCTAAATTGACAATATAATAGATGATTAGATTGTAAGGCCTAGATTTCGGGCAAGAAGATAGGAAAGCCCTCACATTGAATTGTTTGGTTTGTGAATCATGTTTTAGTATCTTGAAATTCTAGATGAGTCCATAAAGTGATCTGACATATTTCTCCCCAGAAATGGGGTTCTTGACTACACCTTTGGCATTTATTAAATGTAAAAATCCAGAAATTATTCTAAAATCATTCATCTAGTTTACTATTCAGCATGCTGATAGATAGTATGCTATTGGTTAAAAGCTCATATATGCACCAAAGATAACTTCGGTCTGGTGTGAAGTGTAGTAATTGATTACTTTGAGTTCTGTTGTCAGGTTTAGCATGTCCAAGCTTTTCTTGATTATATTATTTACGTATTCACTCACACTGTTTACAGAAACTCATTGAAATGGGAGTAGAGAGGCTCATTCTTCCGGCTGTTCCTAACGTGTTGAACACTTGGAAAACTTCTTTTGGGTTCTTAGAAATGAAACAATCAGAGAGAATGAACTTTCTTGATTACACCTTCCTTGATTTCCAGGATACAGTCATGTGCCAAAAAGTCTTAACTCAGGTCCCTTCCTCTGTATCAAGGATATCAACAGGTATAATAATGCCTCGACTATTCTAAATGAAGTGGTAGAATCTATTATGCAGACTAATTGATTTACATCTTTGTCACCAGAAACTAAGGACAAAAGTCGTGCCCCTATGAGAAAAATTGATGCAGACTTGGATGGTATTGGTTCTGATTCTGCAATTTCTCAAGCAGAACGAGTCCAAGAGGGTGAATTTAAAGATCAAGGATCAGCATGGTAATATGTGATTTTAATGCTCGTGTGTTATGATATTGGAAAATAATGTGTAATAATAAATATCAAAGAAAATACTATTCATATGAATATATTTCATGTAGACCAGTCTTTAGACTTAATGCCAATGCACCATTAAAAGTAAAGAAAATGAGTGTTTAATGGAGACAAGGAATGTTTGTTTAGCATGTACCTGAAATATTTTTCAATCCAGAGCCAAAAACTAATCTTATTCCTCGTAGATGATTCAACTGGTCTATGGAAAATTTTCTTCCTGTTTTTGTACTTGTGTAAAGCTGAAGGAACAAAATACTATGTTTTTTTGGATAGAGAGTATGAGGAGGGAGTGTATTGTACAATTCCGAATGTAAATTTTCTAAGGTTCTCTGCTATTTCGAATGGATGGACTGGCAAAAATATTGTTATCCTGTCTTGGTTTCTGCTACAACTTTGATTGATTGAATATCTATAAAAGATTCTGCTTTACATAAGATTATATGTTTGGATTAATTTATTATTCTATAAAGCATCCCCAAACATGTATACCGTACAAAGCAAGATTTAGTATGACTTCTCTGTTTCTCTCTAATTTATATATTTTTCACACGTGCATATCGGGTTTTATTAATTTTCTGATGTCATTATAGTGTAAAGTTCATTATTGAGGTTATCATCAATGTGAATTTTATGTTCCTTCCCATTTTTACTGTCCAATTTTTCACTGTGTGTTATCACAATATATTAGTGTAATATATTACTTTACTTCTAAAATTTGAGTATTTGGACATAAAATGATGGCGGTATTGTTTCGGTGTCACTTGCAGGGGTTTTGAAAGTATGTTAAAGATTTTTACTTGTTCTCTATCTATTCCAACTCGATTTTGAATGTGGAATTTCGCTACTTGTACTTTATTGGACACCTTTATGCTACAGGAATAAGAAAAATATAACAAAATATTAATATTTTATCGAGTCCATGTATCCATTTTTAAGTATTTGCAATGAAAAGATTAAAAATGTTAATATTTTGTTAGAGTTCATGTATCCAAAGTTCAGATATTTTACAAATATAATGTCTGGAAACTTTCCCTCTCCCAACCTGAGTCCAACTAGTATAGATTTTTATGAAATTTCTTGTCGATAATAATGATCCGACACTGGGATATAGGAAGTTGAAAGCTGTATGCAATCATCACACGTTTAAATACTTTACAAATAAGCTGCCACTTTGATTTTTGTAACTCCATGTTTCTTTATATTTTAATTGTATCACATATTTCCAATTTCATAGCCAAAGATGTAGGTTGAATTCCTGATCATTTTTTTTCCCCGCAGTGTTTCAAGGGGACTTGACAATGAGAATGGCAATGACTCATCACAGGAAGCTATTTTGGTTATTATTTTTCTCCAACCATCTTTTCTTAATTTTTTACTTTTTTATCCTGATTGGTCATTTTCAGTTTTACTGAGCTTTTGTTAAAATTATTTACAGGTGAATGAACCAACAATACTAGATTGTCCATCTTTCGAGACTGGGATTACAGTGGAGTGTCATGCTGGAGTTACTGATCATAAGCAAGTTGAGGACAATAAAAGAAATGGCATTATCAAATGCTATAAGCGAAGGAGAATGTCAGCCTGCTGAAGATTGCTCCTCGAAGAAATTTGCCAGTTATTAAACAGGTACTTTATTTAGGACAAGGGAATCAAGATTTTTTGATGTTAAGTACACTAATCAGCTGCAGATGGGTTGTAAGGTTGCCTCTTGAAATTTATTTTCGTCCTAAAGGACTTGTATATAGTGGGAGGGAGCTGGTCAAATTTTATCAGGCTCGTGTTTGTTTATGCTCGTTTGACTTGCTATACATACTCCAACTCCTGCTGGTTTTGGATTTCTTTCTGTGTGCACATATTAGTGTGAAGTATGTGACACAGATTTATTTATGTGTTCAATAACTGAATAGGGGCTTGATGCAAATAATTTGTTTGTGGGGGCATAAGTTTAACTACTCCTGCAGTTTTTTCGACGCATCTGTTCTTGTTATTTTGTCCTGCTTTTTTCCTTCCCTAATACGGTGGTCACTGTTGGCAGTGCGTCTGATTAGCTAGACCATACAAAGGTGATTAAGGGGCGGGAGTGTTAAAGAATATTCGTCGTATTATAATCTTTGTAAGTTTATCTTTTTATGGAAGGCTCTTCATTTTTGTGTTGGATCAATGTTGAGTTTTTCTTCGTGCACTCTAGACCTTTGGCTGAGTTGAAGGGGTTGTTACCTGTGAATATCTTCTGGTAAATGATGTTGGAAACCCCTTTCTTCCAAGACCATTATGAGGCTTTATGTATCCTTTGCTTCTGCTTTATTTAGTGTTAATTGTCCCTGGTGGGGAATGAGGATAAGAATAAATACAAGATTTAGGTAGGATTTAAAAGTAGAATTTGATTTAGATTATGTTTGTTTTGTTTATAAATTAGTTAATTATTCTGATAATGTTTAGTTTATTAGAAGTTCAATTGAGTTTAACTTCTTTCCTCAATAAATGGGACTTAGGATTTCATTTGAAAGCAGACTTTGATTATGAAATAAATAAGGAAAATGTTTGTTGTACATAACTATTTACGAAATGTTTTACATGAGGCGCCAAAATGTAAGTAGGAGAGTTATTTGATTGATTAGATATTGATCCAATTATATCGACACATCATCTGTTGATAAACCATTGTGTAAGTTGTTATGTACATGTAGCACTACTGAATAAATAGTTCTTTGTTAAGTCCTGCTGTCATCTCAATATTTGGACATAGACCATAATGCTTTCATGGCTTTGATTAATTGAGACCATATATCTCTTTGATAGAATATAGATAAACGTGGGCCATTGCCATCTATAAAAGACAAAAACTCCAATAATTTGATTAGGGATAACCATAACGTGTATTTCCATTACAACCCAAGAAATTCGATCCCATTGATTATGAGGAAATTTTGAAATTTGATGTGTTTAGTCATCTAGAAGTTAGGCTTGTTGAGCATAATGCTAACTTGAATTCATCGTTGAATAGAGTTGCATTGAATGATGTCTTAATGTTGTTCCAACCTCAATTAATGAACGTATTTCAAGTTTAATAGTAGTTTCTCCTATTGCTAACAAATCTTTGTGAGCCATCCAATGGTATATACTAAGTAGTCTTGGCTTGATCGCGTCTTTCGTCTCTTTTATTCACCTTGACCTACAACTTTCTTGGATCGATTAGAGTCAAGCGGCCTTTCGTGGTTCAAACATCGGTCCACTTTCCGGCTCGTAGCGGTCGCCCGCTCTTTCTAATTCAAAAGACAAAGAAAGAAAAGATGGGCGAAGCATCGTTTGAAGTGGTGAAGGCCTATGCTACGGTAAGAAAGTGAGTTGAAAAAAGCTTGGTGTGTGGGTTGGTGGTGGGGTTGTTCATAGTTGAAACCAAACAACATATGCGAAAGGATTTGATGTTGTGGGTATTCTTGGACACGTGAAACTGGGTCACTAAACAAATGAAGCTTTTCAGAATGCACCACCCACTTTGGTTGATTCTTCAATAGCTTATTATTTAAGCTTTAGCTTTCAGCAAGAACTTGTGCACTTGTCTCCCATTTCGATATTGGTCCCTTCTCTCATTTCGACTTTTTCAGAAGAATTCTGAATTAGAATCTGTCATCCTAAATCCTAATGTCCATAAAAATATACAATTTCACTTCAAATCAGGAACATGATCGGACTACAAGTCGGGCTAAAAACAAAAATTACATAAGAAAATTTTTTATACATAAAAAAAAAAAAAAAATCTACCAAAAAAATGAAGTGGGCTAGGGCCTAGTCTAGTCCCGCACATCCGTCGTTGCTTCAAACCATAAATGAGCAAATTATATGCAAATTACTTATTATCTTGAATAAAGTTATTTATCTTTATTAGAGATGATCACCGATCTGTGAATATTTATTCCATTTTATTGGTCTTATCATTTAATGTTATATATTTGGTGATTATCTCTAACGAAGATAAGTAGACTATCCGATTATCCTTTTCTACCCCTTAATCATGATGTGAGGGGAAATTATCTCTTAACATTTCACATTACCCGTTTATAAGGACTTTTTGTGAGGGGTGAACAAGAAAACTTCAATCTGTCAAATAAAATCGTTATTGTTATTTTGAAACCGTTGGTTTGGTTCCAGGCGATTTAAGTTTTGACCGTTTAAAATTAAACTATTTTTGTGTTATCCCAAATATATACTTATTGGATCAATTTATATTCCAACGAATTTACTTGCTAGTAGACTCTATTGGCTTTTTAAAAAAATAACGATGTATTTATGATATTATTATTTTTATCTAAATAATGAAATTACAAGGTTAAATTTTATGTTTTGACTTGTATTACTTTATATAGTTTTGTTTCTTTATTAAAAAATATTTGTTTTGTTCGTTTATTAATATACTCTTATTTAATTTACCTAGTTATAACTAATTCCTCCCACTTAATCTTGAAATTGTACAGATTTTAATTTACCTTCTTGAAATTATCAGAGTACATACATAATCACATTTCCCACTTCTTTTAGGAAACATGGACAAAAAAACATTATTTTACTACTAATTGATAATTAAATAAAGGTAAACTAGAATAATTCTTTGCAAAAATTACTTTTTCAAAATATTAAATAAAATTTCTTAATCTGTGTGAAAAACAAAATCAACCTGTTTAAATGGAATATAGTGATTATAGTAAAATTTTCGAGCAATATATTTATTTTTCTGAAACCAAACGAAACCGCAAAAATGTTTTAGTTTGATTTGAAAAATAACATGAAATGATTTGGTTTGAAATGTTACCAAATTAATTTGGTTTAAAACATGCAAGTTCGAGGCTCATTTTTATTTTTTATTTGTCTAAAATATATTTTGGAATAATATTTTTTATGGAGAATGTGTGGATAAAAAAAATGAATTACGTGTAATACTATTTGATTGAAGAACGTGTGATTGAAAATAAAAAAGAAAAATAAATTTTAAAAAGAATGAAAATCAACTGTAATTTGATAGTAAAAATTAGGAAAAATTGCAGCGTCGGTCTTTAACCTTTTTCATTTTTTGCAAGCTTTATCATAATCTTCATTTTGTGTCAGATGAGGTTTCTAACATTTCATAAATATGCAATTATGATCCATTTGGACGGAAACCGTCCGAAACACCATCAGTTGACTAGAAAAAAAAATAAAAAATCAGGTACACGACCCTTTTAAGGAGGGCAATTTCTTTCAATCAGTATTTCTCATTTGACACCATTCAAATCACTGTATATTTTCTTCCACATCGTGGAATAATAATATTTATACTCATAATTACATATGATTCAAACAAATCCATAGTGAATCAAGGCTAGCGATTAATTTTTTCCTTGACAAAACTGATGTCCACTAGCTATTGACCAAAAATCATAGTAGTAACAATAATAAAAAAAATTTAATAATATTCCAAATAACCAGAAAACCCTAGGTTAAAAGCATAGGACAACAAAATCTAATCAAAGAACCCCAATTACAAAATAACAGTAAAATCCCCCAACACAAATTCAAAACTTAGAATAAAAAAGATAATGAAGCAGATAAAAAATAATTACCATTGAGCTTCATGAGTCTTTAGCATCAAACCTAGATTTTCTATTGCGAACAAGAAGAACCCAAACACGACGAAAAGGAAAATCGATACGCTAAGTATCAAAACCAGAAAACATTTGAAATTAAACTCTTGGAAGATTCTAGAAACAACCGCAGAACATAAGGTTTTAGAAATGGGATTCTGAGACTGTTGTCGTCGTTGCTATTGCACAACTGGTAGTCGTTGATTATCGACTTTTCCCATTTCCACCACAGCATCTATTCTTGCGGTGCTCTCTCCCTATCTCTCTCTAGAATTGTATGCATAGGTGTATGGGGGATGTTGATTTTTGAATAGTATTCAAGTAAGAAATGCCGATGGAACGAAATTGTTCCTCTTTAAAAGGGTCGGTATACCTATTTTTTTAATTTGTCTGGTCAACTGAAGGTGTTTTGGATGATTTCCGTCTAAAGGGACCTCAATTGCATATTTGTTGTGGACATTTTCTAGTACAAATGATGGGTATGGTAAATTCTGCAAAAATGAAAAGATTTGGGATCGTTGCTGAAATTTTCCCTAAAAGTTATATTTTTGATGGTAAAAATTTCTCCCTCCCCCTTGAGGCCAAAAAAACGCAACCACCCAACCTTCGCTTCCAACTGCCTAAAACCAACCAAAATCTATTGCTTTCCATTCTTTTCTCTTTTCTTCAATTCGGAAAGAGAAAAAAGGAGACCCTTTTAGCAACACCCAAACCCTCTCTGCATTTTCAGCTCCTTCCTCTCCATCTACCTCCAAATCCACCAGTTTGCTTAAACAAATTCAAGATTCACACGCACCATTTTAGAAGTTTTTGTAATTTTTATGATCTGGTATTGTGTTAATTGATTGAATCTCAGAACCCATGTGGTTTAGGCGAAGCAAATCAAGGATTCGACTGCACAACGCATCGTCCCCCAAATTCACTTGCTCTTCCTTCAAAGATTTACGGCTTCTACTCTCTGAAGAAGACAGCAATTGCAGCAACAATAAAATCAGCACCGGTGACGGGGACATTGCCCTTGATTCACCTACCCCATACATCAGGAAGCCCTCCATTTGTCATAGGGTTCGCAGCGCCAATTTCCTCCTCCGGACCCTATCTTTACCGCCAGACCATCAGGAATCCAAACCTTACCGGGAGGATGTTCAGGTTCCGGTCCCATTGTCGGAAAATGTAGCTGCAGATGTGAAATCGGAGTCAGTGATTAGGATCCCGAGGGCGGAGAATACTATAGTGGTGTACTTTACGAGCCTGCGGGTTGTTCGCCACACATTCGAGGACTGCAAGACCGTCCTAACGATCCTTGGCGCCTTCCGTGTGTTTGTTGACGAGAGGGATGTTTCCATGGACACGGTTTACATTGAGGAGCTGCAAAGGATCTTTGGGGAATCTGACAAGTCCAAATTAAACCTCCCTCGAGTCTTCATCGGTGGCAGCTACATTGGGGGTGCTGAGGAGGTACGGCAGCTCCATGAGAGCGGCGAGCTCAAAAAGTACCTACAGGGTCTCCTACCGGCGGACGCATGTGTGTGCGAGGCGTGTGGCGGGTACAGATTCATCCTTTGCCAAGATTGCTATGGAAGCCACAAGTATTACAGCGAGAAATGTGGCTTTAAGAGTTGTACTTCTTGCAATGAGAATGGTCTCGTCAGGTGCCCATCTTGTTCTTGTGCATCTTTCTGAATCATTGTTAAATCACGACACGATATAATTATTAGTTAGGTTTAAAATTATGTAACATTGATTGGAAGAAATAGTTTTGATGGAGATGTGTAGTAGTTTTTCATATGTTCTTGCTGATTTTACTTGCTAGAAAATGAGAGGCAAGCCAAGTTAGGTCCAAATGATCCATTTGGAATGCTATTGTTCATTTGTTAACATTGTTTCACAATTTAGTCGTGTGTCGGAAACTCAAGCTCGGAATATGAGAAGGGGTGAGAGGGATGGGGAATCATAAAATGTTTTGTTATTGTGGTTCGAATGAGCACTCATAGACTAGGTGCAAATAAACGAATTGTTCTCCAAGATATATCTCCATGTTTATTCTTGTCGTTGAAAAGATGAATCTTTGACGAAATTCTGGTACAATATGATGAATTTTTTTCGATTTTTGATTGAGATCATTGTTTTGTTGCCCAATAAATTTCGAGTGGATGACATGAATCATAACATAATAAGATACATAACTCTTGTATGATGGGCTAACCAGTGGGATAAATATGTCAAATAGCTAATGAACTATGACTCGTACCTAAAATGCTGGTTTCAGACGCTAAAACTTATCTTTTTTACAGAGCTAAACTTCGGTGGATATATCTTTCTATTTGTATTTGGTTTTTCCATTTATCCTTAGTTTTATTTCTCTACAAACGTAATTTCATTTAGAAATAGTTGGTTACTGGATATAGATGTGCCAAATTATATTGCATTATCGTCGTGTTAATGGAATATATAGAAGAATATTTTTGTTATCTATAGCACTTGAAAAAGAGCATTTTTCCTTTCTGAGTGACAGTAGGAACTTTTTCTTTTTGATGGGAATCCATTGTAGACGTTGAACTAAGCAATTCTGCTTTTTTAGCATTGTGAAAAGATCTTTCATCACTTATTTGAGCATTTTCTGGGACATCATCATTGCATTTTCGTTATCTATCGAACTCTTGCATTTCTTTCTCAGGACAGAAATTTAGACGGTGGAAATTTTCTGTAGGTAAGTGCAGTTGAACTTTGACAGATTGGTAAATGTTGATCGTCGATGATAAAAGGGTTATTCTTCTTGTACATAATGGGCACCATAATGGTGTCCATAATGGACACATGTGTACCACTAGCACATCCCATGATAAAATCCATCTAACATCCGAGTCACGCTTCTGACCTTGTTAAATTTCCCTCAAGTCATTTGGTGGAGTAGATAAGAATATAGCAGTGGTAGTAGGACCCATTTGGCAATGCTTCTACTTTTGTTTTCACTTTTTGTAGAAGAGCTTCCAATGAAGTTTCCTTCTGTGAAAGAACTTTTAGAGAAAGTCGCATTGGACGCACCTCGTAAAATTAACTAAACGAGTCCAAAAGTAGCTTTTAAGTCTCATTTTGACTTTTCAGTGAAAAGTCATATCAAATGGGTCCTAGTCTCTTTTCCGGGAGAGAATTCTACTAAAAACGTGTATCGGAGCTTGAACAAGCAAGCATTTTAGGTCATAAATGTAGATGTGAATATGTTATTTTAACGAGACTACTTTCTTGATTGCAAAATGGAGCAAGAGAGGTACACGTGAAATGCATAAGCAAAGTGATATGAAGTATAATAAACAATTAACAATGTTTAACATTTCAGATTTCAGATAAGATAATCACACTTTAGCTGACAACACTGAAGTTTGAACCAAGTATTTGACTATTCAATAATACAGTGTGGAGAGTGAGTCACTACAGATGGGTCTCCACGAGCTTCGTTTAGGCAAATATTTGGGTATATCCTTGAGCACATTGAACATAATCATTGAACTTTATGTGACATTAATTTTGCCCCAACTACGTTTACGCTGGCATACACTTGACACTACCTATAAGCATCAAGAGGGATACGTTTTGCATTGATGCATAAATACACAATACATCCTTGAGCACATTGAACAGAATCCGAGGCTTGGTTTGAGGCCTTAAGATCTTTTGCTGGCCAACACTAATCGTTTTAAGAGAATATTCAAGAGACGCTCTAAATACAAAATGTCATTTATTTTAAAGAGTCGATACTTATAAATAAGCTCCAAAAAACTTTATTTAAAACTTTTAAACAAAGTTTTAAAACGTGACACGGGCATCGATACGAAAAAGAGAAAAGTCAAGGGTCAAAAGATTCAACTAGAGTCGAACCGTGGTCAAATCGGATATAAACATTTTAATTTTATTTTGATAACAATAAATAATTAAATTTTTCCATCTTCAATTCGAAATAAATACAAATGTGTCAAATGTATTTTTTTAATATAAAACTTATTAGTTCTTAATTTGATAATTAGCACATAACGTCCTTACATTTCACTATTATTGAGAAAAACATTTTTACGTTTAATTTTTTTGGCATTTTCACGCTCATTTTTACATTTTATTGCACAAAATGTCATTTTTATCCATTTTCTCAAGCTGTGAAGTGTAATACCCCGAATTTCACATTACATTTGGCCAATATGATTCACGCATTTCATGCTTGATAATGTCAATTGCATTAAATTACCTGATAGCTTTCTTTTAACTGATGCAGTTGATAGTCGAGGTGCTAAGCCTATTATATGGTGTTAGTCTTCGGCTACTCGACCTAAGCAGTGAGTTTTACATTGAGTTATGGTAGAAAAATTAGGTTAAGTTAGGTATTGGAAATTGGTTTGCTAAGCAATGGGAATTTTACAAAATTCGGAATTAGTATCGATAAAGTTTTAAGCTTTCCGTTCGTTTGATTGAGATCATCATAAACCCTATATGGGTAATTGACCTATTTAGGACATGAAGCATGAAGGAACATGATCACTACCACCATAATATGGGTTTTATACGATGTTATAAATGTTGAGGTGCAAATTGTTGAAATCGACCGATAATCGGGTGTTAGTCGGGTAAGTGATTAAATGAACGGTTAAGGAATTAAAGCTATAAAAGATTTTGGGATCTTAGGGCAGGTAGGATGGATTGTAAAGACATTAAAATAAGCTAAGGACACTTGATTTGTACCTACAAGGATAGAGGTGAAATCAGATTTCTACTACAAGGGACACCTCATGCTTAGCCACCTCCTACTTGTTGATTTGCCTTGGTAATGGTAGATTCCTTCACCCTTAAGCATTAGCAACATCTACCACTTCATTAAGACTTCAAATGTGTAACTTATCATCACTAAAATTCATACAAACCAGCCAAGGATTGGTACAAGATCAGAAGGTAACTGGAAGAAAACACATCCTACTTAGCATGGGGTGAGTTGTCAAGTTAACCTCAAATTCCTTCAACCTTAAGGCTGCTAGCACGTCTTATAAAGCCTTATCACATTATATTGGACAGACATATGTCTTATTAATCACATAAGGGTCCAAATATGGGAAATGAAGAGTCAAGGAGGGCTGCAAGAAAACACCTCATGCTTGGACACCTTATGCTTAGAAGATACTTGTTATTTAACCACCAATTTCTTCATGCTGAAGTATCAACCACGAATTCAACCCTCACGACTCTTTATATAGCCCCTAAATAGGACACTTAACCTCAAATTTTTCCTCAAGTTATCCCCAAGTGAAAGAGAAAGCGAGAAAGCAAAGGAAAGACAGAAAAACAGAAAGCTCGAATTCTGGACAGTTGAAGTTGTTCACTTTTTTGAGGTTTGTCTTTATTATTTTTGAAGGTTTTATAGTCTCTTGAACCTATGGACTTCTTTAAGATCAGGTTGGGGGTGTTTTGATGATTTAATGATGATCAAAATCGGGGTAATTGGTTGCAAGAACCTGAGCTAACTCAATAAGGACAGAAAGTGATTGTTGCTGGATTTTAGTTATATAACCTTTAATCTTATGTTATACCTTGAAAGGAATGTATCTGTATCAATTTGAATGTTCTCATATAAGAGTTATAGGTCTAGAAATGATCTTTAATACGTTGGAATCCAATTTTTGAAAGTCTTGTTCAAGTGAAACTCAAAATAGTCAGATTTGATGTTTGAAAAAGGAATAATTTCAAAGCCGTAAATCCTTCATTTGTGACTAATCTATGGCATGATTACCTTTACCTACATGTTATATAAATGTGGTAAAAATTTGGGAAGTTTTGGATAACGTTAAGGGGGTGAAAAAGGATTGGAAAAATACTTGGACAGCAATGGAAAGCTGAAAACAGATTCTGGCCATTTGTGTATTTAGCTTAGATTCAACCTTTATATGTCCATTAATTATCTCTTAGGCCTGGAAAATGGATTTTAAGGAGTACTAGGTTGTTAAACAACAATTGAATGATGTTGACGTTCATTATTGGACTCGAGAAATATGGTGATTTATGGGACTAGTTTACAATGCAATCGGTAACTTGAATTGTTAATGCTATCTAAAGTATTCTAGCATGAATGGACGTAGCACGGGATTATGTGTGCATTAAGTTTATCAAATTTAGGATTTTGTTTAATATTAGATGGTCATACAGGTGATTTGCTGACTTTAAGTGGGAAAGAGAATTGATTTACACCTAGTAGAAGCGCGCGCACACAAGAGCAAAAAGGTAAGTGAAAATCCATTTGCAACTACAGTGCAAGAATGTAGTATGGTAGTGTTGAAATATTTACATAACTTTGATAAGGAGCTTATTGTGTATCATTTAATGATTATGATCATTGAATATATTACGCACGAGCATTTTCATGTGCATGCACGACATACACCCATTGTTGAAAATCTAGCATGCACAACCTGATTGTAAAATTGAGGTTTTCTTATAAAATGTTTTATTGACCACTACTAGGGCATCGAGGCATGTGAGGCATGCTTATGTGATATGTTTTGGCACCACGGGTAATACTTCCTGGTTGATTACAAAGGTGGATAGGAGATGGGCCTTTGGTAATCACGGGAGGGCGGACCATTCGATTGTGCCTTTGTGATACTCTGATTATTTGCGCTGCTGGGTGGGATACTTCTTGGGTGATCATAGGGGCAGTTAGGGGATGGGCCTCTAGTGATCATAAGAGGATGGTCCACTCACCGGTGTAGATGTCAGATTGGCCACTTGACTATTGATTATTGATATTGATATCGTACAGAGCTCTATCCGGTGCATAGTAGGTGTGTCAAGGGCCCAATGAAAGATTTCAAATGAGATTATTTCGAGTCGACTTTGATGACTATCTGAACATGATACGTCTTTAGCATATTGTTGAAAGTAAATGGCATGGTGTCATATATTATTATCACTCATACTCATGACCTGCATGATTCTTGCTTACTAAGCATTGGCTTATGTAGTTCTTGCATTGTAGGTGAGCATGGAACTTCTTAGGAGATATGGCTGGCTGTGGAGCTCTTACGGGATTCCAAAGTTTTATGTACATGGATGACGACCTGTAGGGTTATTTTGTGGACTACAGTTGTATTAAATTTTGGGATCCTGTATGACTTTGGAAGTAGTATGTAAATACTTTTATAATCGCAGGATAAATATGTTGGGTTGTGATTTTATAATCTTTAGTTTCGGATATACTTTTAGAGATGTCTTCATTTAAAAAAAATGTAGGTGAATTTGGATGTCGATGTCAAGTCATTGACAGTTTTCCCACACTAGTTAGTAACTTACTTAGTATACTGTAGGAATGGGGTGTGACATGAAGTAACAAATATACCATTCTATTTAAATAGAACAAAAAGAAAGAACTACTACAACCATACTCCCCATTTTTTTTAAAAAAAAGTGTAAACGAATCCTAAATAAATTATTAAAAGGGTAATTAGTACATTATATCCTTACATTTCACTATTATTGTGAAAAGTCATTACCTTTAATTTTTTTGATATTTTTACCTTTAATTACACATTTGATTGCGTAAATCATCATTTCTATTTATTTTCATCCAATTTCTCAATAAAAAATTGTGACATGACGAATATATCTTCCTATTTAAAATGAAATGTGAAAATAATGGTGAAAATGTCAAAAAATGAAAGGTAGCGACCTTTTCCACAATAATAGTGAAAAGTAAACACGTTATATTCTAATTACCCTTTTCAATTTGTTGAATCACTTAAAACCTCATTCCAACTTCACTAAATAATTTGTAAGATTTAAAAAATATAAAAATTGTTTAGCAATCTATAGGAATTTTAATCATGGACCATGTAGTCATAAATAATATTGAACAACTGTGATTTGTTGAAGTATGTCAATCTCACATTGAAAGCTTATCAAAAATAGGGTGCCATCTCTTTGTTAACCTTTTAATTATATAATGATAAATTGGTCCAATTGTTAAAACTGTGATCGTGCTTGATTTTCGATTTTTGGCGACTTTCGATTTAAATGATGGATTTTTGGTTATTTGACGGGTTTTTTTCTTTATTTTTTATTTTTTTTATACGTGGATTGGATTTTGGTCTAGTTCTTAATTTTTTGATTGAATTGGTCGATTCGGTTCGATCCAATTTTAAGAACAATGCTTGTAAAATAGTGAATGGGCAAACTTACTCTCTATTTTTAATGTACTATAATTGTATCTAGTAAGTAGTATATTTCAATATTATACTTCTTAAACTTTTCAAATCACATTTAAATTGATTGGCAATTGACATATAAAAAATTATGTTAAAATAAAATATGAGGAGAAATCAATAAATTTTTATTGAGAAAAGCAATCAATATGAAGAACACTTTGGAGTAGATAAAAATTTCGACTCTATGAATTTAAAAATGTTTTATAATGTATAAGATGTTCTTTATAAACTAGCAGTAAGCACGTGTGTTGTACGTCTTATGTATTGGATGAATGATACACATAATATTTTTGAAAGTAGTTAAGGTAATTGATATACTTAAAGGAAAAGTTAAAATTGTTAAAAGGAATATGTATGAATGGTGTGCTATTTGAAATATTTAGAGGTTATATGTTGGATGTCGTGTTGGGCGCTTAGGTCTGTTTGACAAGGCTTTGAAAAGCCAAAAAATATTTTTGAGACTAAGAAGTTTTTTTTTATATGATCAAATCAGATAATTTTCTGAAAGTACTTTGTCTGACTAGAAGAACTTTTTGATAAATTTAAACTAAAATAGCTTCTTAAAATTCTTGATTAATTGGAAGTTTTAATTTTGATCTTTATATCAAAATGGAATACGACATAAATTGGGGACAAATCTTATTGAGACAAACTATTATTGTGAAAAACAAAGATTAGATGTGAAAAATCTCCAATTTAATTTGGAGTAAAAATCATACAAGTTTTGAAAGAATTTTTGTAATTTTAGAAAAAATATACAAAATCTCTAAGCATAATAAGAGAAATTGAACATCTTTCGAGTGTACATACACTACACGAGTGGCTTATGGAATATGACATTGACATGAGTGGATGTTAATTAGTTGGACTGCTTAAAACTCCACTTGTACATTTAGCCACGTACGGATAAAACATATATTTTAATTTAAGTCAAAATCAACAATGAATTCTAATAGTATATTTTATGAGAATCACAATTTTTAAACAATACATTTTAATTACATTTACCAAAATTTACAAAAAATTTGATTTTAATACACACCAAACTTCGATGTTGTATCTGTAATGTATACAAAATGTTGATTCGAAGCAACGATTTGCACAAATGGACCTTTGACGCCAGACGGTCCAACTAAAGGCCACTCATGACCTCGTGGCCCACATAAGATTTTTTGGACAAAATGGTTTGTCGTTTCAAAATTTGAGTGATTAAATTGAAAAACTCGATTGCGAGTGATAGCTATTGTTCGAGCGTTTGCATGGCTGACCTTCTTGGAGTTATTAAGCAGAGTATTGAACCACAGACACTACCTACTGCCCCTGCTTATGGCCGAGCTGGTGCTGGTGGTTCTGGAAGGAGGTACTGTGTTTGATAAGCATTCATGCTATTACGAGAGCAATACAGTTTTACACCAGTTCCATCTATGTACAGTAGTTCTTACTATCTTAGCTTTTAGGCTAATTTTTATTCATGCCCTAAAGATCA